TTTGCTTTCTCCTGGAGAATGTGCCGAAGAAGTGGTCACTTCGCTTCGCTTCTCTTCTGCCGGCGTCACACAACATCAAACCATCCCACGTTTCTGCAGCCACCAACATATCTCAGTTCATCCATTCATCTACGGACACCCATTCATCCATATTCGTCTAGTCTCACCCTCTAGTCAGCCATCGCAACTCGTCTCGCCCAATTGAGATGCTCGGACTACATCTCACGTACACTGCCAGAGAAAACGACCTTGCTAGATGCGGCTGAAGGACGCCATTCTGCGACGCTCAGTGCTGATTTAACGGTTCGACGCCACGACCAACGCGAAACTTGCCATTTTTCCTTTTCTTGTCTCCTCCGTCCGAGCCAAGCTTTACGCCGTTGCGGTACCTGAACCCCTAGCGTACCAAGCGCCACGCGACGAAAAGCTTCGTTTCTCGAAATATTAATGTCTTGAACTACCTACCAACCGGCCGGCCGATCTCTCCCATCTTCTCTCCTCCCCTCATCACCACATCTACTCTGCCTCACCGACCCGGGGACGTGTGCGATAGTCATGTCTCCCGATACCGACTCCTTCGGCGCACCAATGTCCAAGACAATCAGCGAACCCGACGACAACGCGCGCACCGTCCGATTCCCGTCCTTACAAATCGATACCCGCGACCATGCCGCTTCCCCGACCTCGCCCACGGCGCGCGTGCGAGTCGCCGCTCCTAACGATGTCGGCGCACCTCTGACCCGCGCCTCTACCGACCAGAACATATCCCCTATGCGACGCCGCGCAGGCACCTTCAAGCCGGTAGAAGACTACGGAGATTTTGAAATGTCACGCCCCGGCTGGCAACCCGGCTCTGAGCCCGGCTTCGATCCCAACAAGTCGGACGGCGGCCACGCTTCCATGCCCGCCCTCCGTGCCGAGTGCGACATCTCCGTCTTCGACTTCAGTCAGGGCAACATGGTTCAACACAAGTTCAGGAACGAAGAGTTTGTCGACTTCCTGCGGAAGCCCCAGGAGCCGTGGGTCCAGAGCCGCTGGATCAACATCAACGGCCTCAGCTGGGACGTCATACAGGCCTGCGGAAAGTACTATAAGCTGCACAAGCTCGCCATCGAGGATATTATGAACACAAGGAACCGCACAAAGGCCGACTGGTACGCCAACCACGCCTTCATCGTCATGACGCTGCAGAAGCTCGTCCTCCTTCTCGACGACGACAGCAGCAGTAGTAGCAGCAGCGATGACGATTCGGACGACGTAGCGAGCGTAAAGACTGCAAAGTCTGGGAAGGGTATGAAGAAGCTGAAGCGCGCCTTTACCATGGGCGGCAAGCCAAGACCAGACCCAGAGACGGGAAGGCAGAGGGCCGGCAGACCGACCATTGTCACGCAGGGCGACGGCAGCGGCTACGGGGCCCAGCTGAACCGCAACATGAGCGAGCTCTCCCAGCTCAAGGAGACAGCCTTTGTCCGCACCCTCCAGCGCTACCACGCCTCGGCCAACGAGGTCCGCACAGAGTACATGGAGCGCCACTCCTCCCTCATGTCGCGCGGCCTCGCCGTCTCCGCCGAGCAGGTCGCCATCTTCCTGACCTCGGACAACACAGTCATCTCCTTCTTCGAGATGTCGGCCGAGGACATTGAGCGCCCCATCACCATCCGCCTTGGCGATCCCTCCACCATCCTCCGCCAATCCTGCGACGCTTCTCTCGTCGTCCAGGCTATCATCGACGCCATCATCGACCTCGCCATCCCCCTCACCGCCGTCTACAGCGACGTCATCGGCGACCTCGAGCTCGACGTTCTCACGAGCCCGAGCATCAAGCAGACCCGCAGCCTCTACATCTGCGTCAGCGAGATTAACAAGATGCTCACTTTTCTCAACCCTATCGACAACCTCGTCAACGTCCTGCGCGATCACCGCACTGAGCTGTCACAGGACGAGGCGGCGCGCCAGCTACGCAATCCAGCTAGCGGCGTCATCGTCACGCCGCTCACGCACACGTACCTCGGCGACGTGCTCGATCACTGTGTCATAATCACCGAGTCCATGCAGCAGATCAAGCGGTCCGCCGATAACCTGATTGATCTCATCTTCAACACCATCTCGGCGAACCAGAACGAGAGCATGAAGCAGTTGACCATCATTACCATTATATTCCTGCCCCTGACCTTCTTAACTGGGTACTTTGGACAAAACTTTGAAAAGTTTCCGGATATCCAGAACCCCATGGGCATTCAATTCTTGTACGTTGAGACCACCCCTTTCGCTCCGCAGCTATTGTACTAACCAAGAAAACAGCTGGGTCATTGCCTGCCCTGTAGTCTTTTGCACAATCATCATCATGATGCGCTCCTGGATCTGGGCGTGGCTCGAGTCGTTTTGGCAAAAAAGGAAAATCAGCGCCGAGAGGAAGAAGCAGAATAAAAAGAGGGCGCGAAGGGCAAAGAGGAGGGCCAAAAGGGATTAGGAACCCCGCCCCGGCCACCGCTTTCCTTCGAGGTCGAGGCCTTGGTCGTGACTGTTGGTCCCCTGTCATGCTTGTGTATTGTGATACCCCCTACTTTCTATTTCAGACCCCATATAGATCTTTCCGCATACCACTGCCCAACACTAGAGCTTCAATTGAGCGGGCTTTTGAGCGTCGCTACGATATTTTGAGATTCCTCCACACGTGAGAAGCGAAAGTGGGCGGGAATTTGGGAGAGTGGTTCGCTTTGGTTTCTTTCTTGGGCTCATGTGAGACCAACAGGTAGGCAATGGGGTAAGAGGCATCTCTATTCAACCCTAAAAATCTAACCAACTTCGAGTCGTGTATCCCACTTTCATCCGATCATACCAGCATACCCCCTTCATGCAACAGGTCCACCAGCCTCAGGAAGACCGCACTACATCATCACACTGTATCAGCAAACCCATTCCTCACAACCAACAAAAGAAGCACACCATGAAATTCAAGGGGCGATAAGAGGGTGAAAAAAAACTCACGTAATAAACAACCAAGCTCCCACCATCAAAGATCGTCTCCAGCGAAACCGTCTCGCCCTCCTTGGGCGCAACAGTCACATCGCTCCTCGTGTTCCACGCAATCTGCGCCACGGAAGCAGGCTGCCCGACACCGGGCGTCACGGTCGCGTTCGCCCACACGCCCGGGTCGCCCGCCGTCGCGGCGGCGAAGACCTCCACGCCGACCTGTTGGGGCGGGTACGGGCTGCCGTAGCCGACGGCGCCGGCGACCTTGATGACGAGGGAGCCGGAGAAGGGGGAGGCGATGGAGAAGTCTGTGATGTTGGCCGAGGGGGAGGAGCTGCTTTGGGCGCCGTCGAGGACGACTTCTAGGGGGGTTGCGGCGTCGCAGCCTGTTGTGGGGGGGGGTGGGTTAGTCAGTGGTGTGGTTGGGTGGGATGGGTTGGGATTGAGGTCATCCCAAGTTTCACCCGCGATCTACCCTTTCGTCTACGGCCGAGCGGGCCGGGAGGTTGAAGTTCGGATGGAAGTATGGGGGGGGGGGTTTTGCGGGGGGGATACTGGCGTCGGCGTGCTGTGGAGGAGCGCCTGCGCGCCTGGGGCCTTGGCGGGTCCGTCGGGGCGGGGGGGGGCAGGTGGAGTGGTAGGTGGGGCGGTTGGTGGCGCGGGGGGTGGTGGGTCGGGGGGGGATGTGTTGTTACGTACGGGAGTAGTCTGCGCGAACGCCCCATGAGCCCTGCGCCACGGCAGCGTGGGCACCGCCGGCGGCGAGCAGAGAGGTCAGAAGAATAGAGGCGTACATGTTTGTCGTGAGAATATCGTGAATATGTATGTCCGTTGGTAAGTCAGGTTTCTATCGAGCCCACTTGGATACAACAACGGGAATCAATCTCTCTTTTGTACCCGCCCACGCGGGAGTTCATCCCGTCGTTTCGGTACCTTCGGGGGGTGACGATCATGGGTTTATAAAAAGACCGAAAGCCCTACGATGCTCTGCCAAGCAAACTAAATCTAAAGAGGTTTTATTAAGTATGAACTCTATATGCAGATGCCGGTGGACGTTGAGTGGGACCCGAGGAATTGGTCATTCGTCGTTTTGGCGTTGTCCATCCCCCCTCGTATGCAACTTATATTAAGTTGGTCTGCTCACGGCAAACGAGTCAGTGGGTATAAGTGTTGGTCACACCCGACCAAGGGAGGAGAAAAGGAGGAAAGTATCGCTCCCTTTTTCTACTATTAATTCAAAAGGAGAAATAACTTCGCGACGTGATTACTGAAGTTGAGTTGTCAATACTTTTTAGTGTGTGCTTGGTCAAATTTGGTTGTGTCTGTTGGCGGCGGCTCTTGGAGAAGTGCTGTTCGGCTTCCCACTCTTGGGTTCTATGAAAGCTATATTTCCATAAGCCTAATTTTGAACTTTGTCTCTTGAGAGCGAATGGTTCATCTGATTAGAGGCGCTGTAAACTGGATTGAGATTCGATTTGTCTGGCTAGGCAATTGTCTGGGTTAAACCTGGTCCCTTGGGTTCTCATGGACTAAATTTCTGTGCAACATATCTACATGTGGACAAAGTGGTTATTTTCTTGTCTTTCTAGCACTCTAGGGGTTCGTGTACGAAAGACAAGGCGAGGAATTCTCAACCATTTGACCTCATATGCCTGCCCCTCGGTCCTTCATAGCCGGCCCGGCTATTCTGAAGTATTATAGATGTGTTGAGATCACTAAATGTCCCAAACCATGCTTTGATCTGAGCCTTCAAAACGGGGTTAACCGGCGGCGAGGTGGTCTTGTTGAAGTTACCGCCCCATAACGACGATTGGCATCTACTTTTCCTATCAAGGAATCTGTCGAATCTAATCGCATTGGCAAAACGGAGCTTTTCTGTACTCAATCTTCGTTATAAGAAGTGTAAACTTGAACTCGCAGAGGCGGACGATGTAATGTAAGTAAAGCAGGTACACAAGCTTCCATGCCGACCATATTCGAGGAGTCGAGTGGGATTGTAGAATCTGGCAGCCTTCTAGTTGCTAATTTCATCGCTTCCCACTATCATCCTCCTTTCCCCCATCTGCGACCGAATTCCGGCCAGTATCCTGCCGCTGGTGATGATCACACTGCTGACTCCCAGCGTTCACCTCCCAACTCAAAGCGCTAAACTTCCATTTGCCCCAACCAAGCTGCAGGTCAAAGCTACTATGGAAGCCTCGAATCTGTCGCTCTGGTGGTTCATCTTTAGGATTCTTGACAAGTTCCCAATCCTCCTCGCTCCCCTCCCTTTCGTCGCATCGACTTTGCGTTGGAGGATGGGGGCTGGATCTCTCCTTGACGGACGGCTTTTCCTCTGATTTCAACAGTCAGTCGAAATGAATCTCTGAATACGATGGAGTAAGAGTGACTTGAGGAAAACATGCCTTGGGTGCTGCGATAAGTGCCTCCCTGCTGTGCCATTTTGATGGTTCTGGCCTTTGCCTTTTGGAGAGAAGTGAAGATAGAGGATGACGAACCCTAGCATGGGCAAACTTCAGCCCCTCTTCTATGGTCTTGGAACTTTGGTGGCGAAGCACCTCAGCTCAGCCTAGACTTTGCTAGCTGAGCGATCGACAACCAAAGGGTCTATGATTGGTTGATGATCATTCGCCAATGAGCATGTCCAGCGCCTCGTCAACTCGTATAGATTTATCCTGATCGGCATCATGTGGGTGAAGTCACACCTATTGCTGGTGTTTTATTGACTAACTCTAGCTGTGTATGGAAATGTAAGTATGGTGGTATCTCTACTGGGTTTTCCCGTTACAGAAGAAGATTGAGGCAAAACCCATCCTTATCTGACGAAGGCTCCAGAGAGTCGCTCTGGGTATCCAGAGCAGAAGTTGCAGTCTGCAAAACAACTCGTCTGCCTCCCGCTGAGTCTCGACAACACGTCCCCATTGCGTGTTCAAACTGTACTCTCTCTCTCTCTCTCGAGGGTGTACTCAGCCCGCCTAGGTTGCCCTTCATTGCATCCCTGTGTCATGAAGTCGCATGACAATGTGACAAGAGCAGCTTGTCACATAACAACCTCATACATCTCCGGAGCTATCGTAGATAGGCGATATACCGGGAGTTTCGCCGAGGTGGGAAATACACCTCTTATTGAATAATCATCCTCAAACCCTTCATGGGTTCATTCATCCCAGCCCTTTTGGCTCATGACTCCATCACTACTTCTTGAGCCTCCTGATACAGGATCCTTCTGTAACACGACATTATTTTTAGGCGTCTTCGGCGGGTCCCTCTCCATCGGGCTCGCATCGCTGAGGTTATTGAGGTCGATATCGTTGAAGTCTCCGACTAGATGCGCTATCGAGGACTCCTCGTAGGACACGAGTCGCGGTCGTTCATTGGGGTCCGCTGCCGATCGTGAGGCTTGGCTGGCAGAGTGTGACCCCTTTGCTGATCTAGACATTCTAGCTGATCTCGAAGACAGGTGTGTTACTTCGAGGATCTTAGGGAATAGTTTCCTCCAGACTTGACGTGTGCTCGGAAGGCAAGACACGAAGATACCAACACATAGCTCGATGTTGGACCAGAGGGAGCTCTGGAATGAGTCGGCTGCGGTTGCTGTCAGTACTGTGCATAGCTGACGGTGAGTCCCTTGTTTCGGACTTGCCTGTGACGTTGTATGATGTCGCAAAGATGAGAAGGGCCTTGATTCGATAGGCACTAACGGCAGTGAGACTTTAAACTATCAGTCAGCAACATTCTCGCATGTCAGCTTCGTTGTACTCACAAAACTCCTACGCTGAACATCAACATCACACCCAGCTTCTGTTTGCGCTGCATTCTCAGCGAATAGACTTGAGTTGCTGGAAGTACTAGCATCCATGCATCCAGAGCCACGTTCAATGCGCCATGGCACATGGCAAAGGCGTTCAAGTTGAAGCATTTGCCCTCCATATCTCTTTTCCATCCATGCCAGAAGAAGTGCAAGGGCTGACAAGAGCCGAAAGTGCCGGCGATGAAAGCGATCCAAAGAAGAAGGTTGAACAGCTGAGTACACCAGAGTATTCGGCGGAAGGTTTCGTCGGGGAAGATTCGCAGGTATAGAAATATGATCGAGGCCTTGATAAAGGCTAGGCAGGTCATATAGAGCATACCGAATATGATAAATAGCTGGCACAGTCAGTTTTGCTCCATGAGGTAATCAAGCAGAGATGCATCGATGATGCGGCCTTACCAAAAGAAAATCAGTAATTTGGTTTTCTGATAGTGCCCATATATCTCTCCCTGCACCAGTTTGTTCGGCTATACGAAGACATTAGAGGATACATTTCATTAGTCGGAATCTGAGCTTTACCTAGATATGCCGCTGGCAGGAAAGCTGCTAGTACGGCCTTTGCGATTGTCAGGAAAACTTGTCGAGGGCATGAGAGAGGGTGGATTTCTGCATAACATACATAGGCTATGACGATGGTTGTGTCGTCCCAACCCCAAGGCGACAGCTTTAGAAACTTGTTCACCATTCGTACGATTATGAAAAAGGTTGGTAGGGCGAAAAGAACCGCCCTGAACCACGCCATGACGGTATCCTGCTGAGCAGGGGCAACACCACAGGCAGCCAATGAAGAATTGCGTGCCGCTGTAGATATTCGATGAGCCTTAACATCTTCACTAAGGGAACCTGACTCCGTGACCTACCGAGCATCTCCATGACAGTGCAATTTGCCTCGACGCATACCTGCACGTATCCCGCCAAAACGTTATCGTTACACATGCATTTTTGATCCGTTAGGGGGCAGGACGAATGGCCGATCTCCTGGAAGATACATTTGATCTGCATCTGTCAGCACATTCCATGGCTAGGGGATGTCAGTGGGAAATAAGCTTACAGCACAGCTGGGGATGCCCTGGTACGAGATATCTGACGCGGCGACGAAACTTCCAAGGCCCAGGAAGCAAGCGAGCAGGAAGAAGAGACGGGTAGCAGACATCGTGAAAGGAGCGACTTAGGATGGACGATGATGATGTCCTGCAAGCCTCTCAAACCCAAGCAGGGTCGTCCGCGAATTGACGTCGGAATCTGAAGCCGGAGAGGTTGATCAGGTACTCAAAACTTTGACGAAGGGTCCAAGAAAGTGGTCTTGGCCATGTTGTTGACCAACGTGGGGATATGAGGAGAGAGAAAGGTGGCATGGACGAACCGTAGTGAAGACGTCTTACCACGGGAAGTTCGCCCTACGGCTGTCATTCCGCCTTTCTAGCAAAGACGCTAAACTAGTTCTTAGCTAGGCAGTTCCCAAGGGATCCCACGTCGAGGAAGTGGCTAACCTCCTCTTGGGACATCAGAGCGTTGCACCAGCTCGCTGCAGTCGGGAGGCACGGCAGGCAATGAAGGTCTTGCCGGCAGTGGTACGCGGGACGCTGGACCTCGCGTTTTCGGGAGGTGTGTCGACAGTGTCTCGACTAGTTCACTCGGTAAATGCGCGTCAGTTCAAATTGGTTTGTCCCTTTTACTAGCAGATGCCAGAGAGGGCGCCACGGCTGAGACCATCGTGAGCCTGGCAAGGATATCACAGCTCGAGATTGGTTGGTCGTGCTCAATGGATGCCGCTAGGGGAAGCCAAGGCTGCTTCCTAGGGCATAGAGCTCGGACGCTCTGTATGGGAGATCGGCGTGGCTAGCATGCAGCCAAAGGTGAGCTAGGCCTTGGCTGTGTGCAGGTCCTCAGGGGCACCTTGACGTTTGCGTCAAGCTGGGAATGTCTGCTCACTTGAGGAATGCCGTTCGCGGTCTCGATCTAACTTGGCATGTGAATCAAGATGCATTAGGGACTTGATGTTGGTGGGATCAATGTTGTCAGACTGGCAGTACTTCGGCGGTTCATTGGATGGCTCGGACGACAATCGCAGTATTGGGCATGACTTTGGATCTCAAAATCCCACGATGTCACACGAGCTGATCCCGCGATGTGATATCTTGTGGTCCGTGTACGACCATCCTCCGGTGTGAATTTTGCAGCATACCAATAGAGAACTAAATGTCTTACTGCATGAGCTAAAATTCCCAGGTTTCCGGGACAGTATGATCGTTCCGTTCCACATTCCTGTACAACCTGACCAAGACCTCAGGAAGCGTTGAAAATGCAACTTATTCTTCATGTTGCCGTTACCCAGTCTTGCCGGTGCCTTTTGGCAACGAAAAGACATGCAAATAAATCGATCCAAAGTTAGTGAACACATGGCGTGGCTTATCTAGGCAATTAGACCAACCATTGAGTTTCCGTTTCTGGTTCAGCATCCGAGAAAACACTTAAGCGAGGAAGCCACGCAGCTCCAGATTCCCGGGTTTTCCTGAGCAAGCCAAAATCATCATCCCTCCTTAGCCGGCGAACTAGAATCCCCACAAGGCCACAGGATCATCAACGGACTTTTCGCGGGCTAACACTTCGCTTTCACGCATCATTGATACTATAGCGTCCAGGCTCGCTTCCTTTGTTCCACCGACGTAACAAGCGTCAACGTCGCTTAGAAATCGAGCCCTAAAGAGGCGAATAATTCAAGCGGAAAGTCCCCTCCGAAGTGCAACTCCAACTATTACCAAACCCTTGACCGTTTTCTTCTGTAGTTGAGTGGATTTTCTGTATGGATTTACCACGCGAACTTTTTACATCCATTCGGGGCAAGGTCCGAGAAGCCAGCAGTGAGGTGACTACTAACTCGGAGAGGCAAGCTCGAGGTGTCGAGATCCTTTCATACATCTGTGGAGCCGCCCATTTATTTTTGATTGTTATGAGAAATGGAAATGGCCTGGACAATGAAAGTAACTCAGCCTAGTGGTATTAGTTGACTTGTCTCCTCCCGTCCACGGTCCGGCCATTGAACGGGCCTGTGTCTGACCCGAAAGTGGGTCCATCGGGCCCGATGTCTCGGGTGACTGCGAGTCGGATGAAGCGAGCCGCCGGATGTGATATCTACAACGGCTGCCATATATCAGCCTGAATGAACTGAACGGGACTTTATTCGAGCTGAATTTAGTCTAAACCTCTCAAATACACAAACTTAGATCTGACATCGAGTCACGATCTTCGGAACCATGGGAGTAGACTAAGACGATGCAAGTTGTGAGTAACCTAAATTGCACGGCAGCCTCGGTGAAGTCTGAGGCATGGAATCAATGATTGATTAAGCGGTTCCTTTTCTTTTTCTTTTTGTGATTCATCGCATGTTCATCTTCAGTCCATCCGCTTGGGCCTTGTCAGAGCTGCTCTGCCGGCACCCAGCAGCTGAAGTCATTCTGACCGAACGAGGCAGACCGCTACACCAAGCCAATACTGTTCTGTTTAACTCTCAAGATCATCCATGATGACATCGAATGCTTCGAACTCGGGCTCGGCATGTTTCTCGGCCAATGTGGGAGCCGAAACGGTACACTTGTTTTCTGCTGTGGCCATAAAACCCTCACAGAGATGG